ATTCTTTTTCTTTCATTCTAATATTTTTTTATGAAGATTTCCTTACAGATGTCCAATTTGAATTAATTTTTATAATTAAGCGATATAATATAATTATCAAGTCTGTTATTTTAATAACATAATAATAATATAGACAAATTATATAATTAATAATTTATCGTATAAATTAATTCATTAGAACGTAATTATCGAGTAATTAGTTTTTTTTTCGCTTCAAGTTCTTTTAATAATTCATAATTGTTGCTATGAAATCATTTGAATTGTTCATGGGAACATTTTTGTACATTTTCTTTTTTTTTTTTCACTTGGAGCATCATTATTTATCCTTACAGAGACAATCATCTCGTTTTCTTCAATTATTTATCAGAGTTATTACACGAATGAGCGTAAACTTCCACAGATTGAAAATCTGCGAAAACAAGCATAAGTGTGTTGAAGGATTAAAGAGAGAAAATTCACGATTAACGAGACGGTTTGATTGTTACGAAGCTCGCGATACGAAATAGCCTCTACTTTCGCCGTCGCGCTGTCCACGCGCGTGCGCCATAATCGATAGCGGGAGAAAAAAGAGGAACAATTTAGCGAAAGTGTGCACGCATGAAGCAAAGATATGCGAAAAGAGCTATCAGAAAAAGGAGGCGAGAGCGAGCGAATGGCTCTCGCTTACGAAATCTGCCAATGCGCGCGCGCGCGCTTTGCTTCACCGAAAAGTCAAGGCTTTTGTCAAGGATGTGATGGCATGTACAGTCAATGTCGAATTGTTTGGAAATATCTTTTATGCAAATTTGATCAATTCTATTAATTTGTATCTTTATTATATTTTTTTTTATTTAAAAATGTGCTGATGATAATATCTGTCAAAAATATTATATACTACTAGATGTTTTTTTTTTCTGATGTAAATGTATTTAAATACAATACGTTTGTTGCTTCGAAAAGAGATGAAAGATATCCTCGATATTCCAATATTTCTTTGGTAGATCGATATATTTTGTTTATATTTTTGTGATAGATACATAGACCTTATCAGAGAGAATAAATCCTCGGTACATCTACACGATAAAAATTATAAAAAAATTAAAGACAATTATATCGTAAACTACATCTGCTACGAATGTATTCAGTTCTGAATCAAGGAGACCAAGATTTTCACAGAATATACGGAGCACGATGGACCCGCCAAGCGAGTCAAGGGTTACACGGCCGCTGGTAACCACCTCTGCGCTTCTCGTCAGAGGGAATGAGAGCTCTCTCTCTCTCTCTCTCTCTCTCTCTCTCTCCGTGCAGCAACGCCGAGAAGTGGAACTCGCATGCGTGTGGCGTGTTGTTTGTGCAGCAGCAGGGAGGAGAGCCGCGGCTGTGGAGTAGTCTTCGCCGGGCTCGGGGAGCGATTGGAGTCGGTGGGGGAGGGAGGGGAACGCGGTCGCAGTCAGGGTGGGAAGGAGATGCGAGACGCTGCGCACCAACGGTGAATGGGTGAAGCTAGAGACGAGAGTGGGGATGTGTACGGCGGCTGCGAGCAGCGGGGTAACGGGGGGAGAGCGCGGATCGAAAGAGATATCTGGACTCCATGATGTAAGGAGACAAGGGGTGTTGCTCATACGCGTGTTTACGTTAGCCGGCCAATAAGATGTCCTCCAGTCTGGCCGCGTCACTACGAAAGAGCTTTCCGCTCAGTAATATACACGTAGAAAGAGAGAGAGAGAGAGAGAGAGAGAGAGAGAGAGAAAGAGCTGCTTATATGTGAACCGCTATTATTGAGGTGCACTTCGTCTTCGATACTAGTTTTAGCAATCGTCTTTTATCTTTGATAGCAGCAAAATTAGTAGCAATATATACATATAAATCTCTTTTAGCATATCGTATCTGTGATATATATATTTCTATGCTCTCTTAAAAGATAACAAAATGTATAGATGTCTCGAAAGATTTTCTCTGATTCTTTAAAAAATAAAAAAAAGTTGCGTTTTATAAATATATTACACAATTGAGAAATTTTTTATAATCGCCATTGAACAGGTGATACCGAAATATTAAAATTCTCAAAGATTTCATCGAGTAGGAGGGAGGGTTCGACAGTTGCATTCGATATTATTAAATACTCAGCGAGAACCAAAATTTTTTTTTATTCCTCACAACCTTTAAATAAACAAGCTTGAGATACATATGTATTACTGCTGAATTATAATAGATAGTGAGAGAGCTGGATGCGTAATGTACCTTAAAGGAAACATCCTCAAGGTGGACGACCAAGTGTACCATTAATGTGTACAGTGCACGATGACTCAGCTTGTAGCGCACGAGTCATAATGATACGAACCGTACGATTAGATTTCAAGAAAATTTTCAACATGTACATGATCAACGATAGCTATCGAGAGAGAAAAAAACCGTTCATTCTTCATACCATGCATACAAAATATTTCTATATATATCTTCACGCATTTTGAGATTCCTTGATTTCGAGTCGATTCTTTTTCTTATCTTTAGAAAAATTTTATTTTAATAGAATTATTAAACGCGATATTACTTTATTCTCAACGCGATAGAATTTTTATTTTAGAGCAGATTAGTCATTCCAGGGTGTCTATTCCCTGGGAAACCTGAAATTCTCAGAGATTTCTTTTGTACCTAGAAAAATCAGAAAATTACCATAGAATTTTATGCGGACTCAAAAAAAAAAAAAATTTTTTTTAGATTTTCTCTTTAATAATTTTTCTCTTATATTGTAAGCAGTCGGCAATCCGTTCATAAACCAAATTATGTGAATTATGTGTTTAAAATATATTATAAATATATGTATATATCTATCTCTTTATATATTCAATATCTTAACAAAACGTGCACATACTTTTTATTTTAATTTTTAGTGATAAAAAAGTGAAAATTTTTTGCAAGTGAAAAATGTTTACCTTACGACAGTTATCCAGTTTTTTTTTTCAGTACATTTGCAGATCTAGTACTTGAAACTTAATATGCTCTGTGTGTTTCCTTTGTATGCGTGAAAAACATTAGAAAATGCATGCAATAAAAAAAATTATTTTACATAGTTGCATGAAAAAATCTTTAAAATATTCTCTTTACCTGGAATTGTGAACAAAAATATCTGAAAGATCAAGGTACTTTCAGAGAATTTTTTTTACAAGATTTAAGTAGACACCCTGTATTTTTTTTTTTTTTGAATAGGCATTAGGAAAATTTCGATGACCGTAGATGCCGTTATTTTTGCGCCGCGTAACGAGGGGATCGATCGCGAGAGAGCTAGACTACTCCCGTACAGCTGATATTTGTCATTTTTGTTGTTGTCGCCTATTTCAAGCTCGCGAGACGAATCGACCCGGGTCCCTTCAACACGGCACCGACGGCGCAATTCAAAACGCGTGTCAGATGCTTTCTCCCGCAGTATTTTTCCGCACTGCGCGAGGATCGATCGCGCCCCCATTGCGTGCTTGGTACACGTATCCCGACATAATTGCCGTATCTCTGTCGGCTGCTGCGGATTTCCTGCAAAATATATATTTTACGTTTCTTTATGCGTACGACGTAACGAACGCTGTATCCGAGATTTTTGCAAATTTTACTTGTAAATATTAATTTATCCCCACGCGCGAAATTTCTGAATAATTATTATTAACGATATCTTGGTTACAGCAGCTTCTCACGAGAACGTTCTATTTGCCAAAACTGTAATTTGAAGTATCAAGGATAAGGATTTAAGTCTCGTAGGGGAGTGAGAGAGGGAGAGAAATTGAATTAATATTGATGATAATAGCTATAAATAAATTTGACGTATTAATAATTCTATCGAGGGGAGAGAATTTTCTGGCAACTGTCTCGTACTTTTATTCTTGAAAAATCAAAAGCAATCTTGTTTATTTATCTCTCTCTTTGAAGGGAGGTGATATAAAATGTGTAAAATTTTCAGCAACAGTGTAAAATTAGAAAATTTTTTTCTTCATGTGTTCACGGACAATATATTATTACACTTTTGTACATGTCATTTCTACCTATTTGTGTTTTATACGCGTCTTATATTTCTACACACACATTGTCTGGATCTATAAAACGTGTTCAGGGGGGGGTCAATACCCCGCCATTATCGAACACTTATCCTAAACCTGACGCAATCGTAATTTCTTTCTACCACATCGCGTATTTTCAACTTTGCAGATAATGAGCATGTAATGATGGTACTGAATCGATGGTAGCAACAACGCGCATCTCTGTTTTTTTTTTCCTCCTACATCGGTTCACGTTCGATCACTCATTTGCATGTTAATTCGTCTTCATTTATAGTTAGCGTACGTGGAAATACACGGCTCATAATTGCCGTCGATTACGCGGAAAATAGAGAGACCGAAACGCAGAATGCTCTGTGAAGTTACAAGTGTTTCGTTATCGCGTGACCGGTTACTATCGTGTGCACCGCTCAGTCTGTAACGTAATTAGTTTCCGCAAGTATTCGCCGTTCCAGAGAAAAGAAACGGACCGATTAGTCAATGGAAATCTTGGTGTAATATTCATTTCGTGATTGCAGCGAACCTTTCTAAATTTCCGCATTAATTATATGCAAATGCGCGCGTTCACGCACAATATGCGTCAGAGTATCAAGAGGCTAAAGATTTTTATTTTTAAACGTTTCTCTCTCCCTTTCTCATTTGCATTCCACAAATATATTTAAAAATAGAATATATAAAAAAAATTCCTGATTAGAATAATTTCACCATCTTTTTTTACGATCTCGTAACAGAGGGAGAGAGAGAGAGAGAGAAAAAAATTTAGAAGTTATGAAATCGAAATATATAATTATAAGGAACGCACTTTTTTCCCGAATAAAAATTTAAATTTAAACCTAAAACGAGAGACGAGAAGACTGTGTTAACGTTATCGCAACTATTTCATCTCCTGAAGTATTTACTTCCTCGCTAATCGCTATTTATTTTTCGTCAATTGGCATCGGTGAAACACGCCTTAACGAGAAATCGTACTTTGTTCCGCAGGAGGAGGGATTACTGCTGGTGTTGGGAGAGAGGAAATTCTCGGCCACTGAGGTCGGACACTCGGCAACTTGGATGGAAACGACGGCGAGAAGAAGGAAACGTGGAGGCGGCGGCACGCAGAGGGTATCGAGAGAGGCGCGTCGTTTAGTCGCGTAAAAGGCGGATGAAGGAGAGGAGAAGAGAAGGAATCACTATTCGTTGGGATCTTATCGGAAGCACGCGATCACGGGACCCTAGGGTGTTTTCCTTCTCGGACTTTTGGCTGTTTCACGATTTTCCACGTGTGTGTTTTCGCGAATGTTTTTCGGGGTTTCCCTTGTCTCTCCCTCTTTCTCTTTCTTTTCCCTTCTGCGTAGAAAGCATAAGATGACGCAAAACCCATCGAATGATAGGATTGTAATTTCATACAATTATCGCGCGTAAAATAAATGATATAATTGTATTGAAAACAATTTTAATTTCTCTACGCGATTAATTTAAAATGTCTCATTTATATTTACTAAATGTAGTTTTAGTAAAAAAATATTTTTAGTATATCTATATTTTTTTAACATAGCTATTTGTTAATTTGTCGGTCCACTCAGGACAAAGATACATATTTTCATAAGATTAAGAAATCGACAATTATCTTAGCTCCAGCTATTCCTTTTGTTAATGACGATGATAAATTACTCGATCATTGATTACCGATCGCTGATTATTCGGAAATTTTATTAGTCACATTAATTTCGGTAGTACCTCTTGTCCAATACCAAATTTGTCAGGGGGAATTAGCGGGGTTCGATCGCCGGCGATGAAAACGTAGGCAACGTTGATAGCGCGGTTCCGTCGTGGGAACGATAACGAGCTCTCCGCCGTGGCGCGGCGGCAACGGGGACGATATTAATAACGGCGATGACGAGTCGCAGGTGGAATACAGAGCGCAGGAGGTGCGCGGGTCAATGAGGAAATTCTCGGGCGCGCGAGGTGCGCCTACCTTGAATGCTACTAGCAGAGGGGAACGGAGTGGGACGAATATAGGAGTGTGTGAGAGAGAAAGAGAGAGAGAGAGGGTGGTGGAATGGTAGGGATAACCGAGAGCGGAACGAAGTGTACCGAGAGAAAACGAACGACGGGCGCAACAAAACCCGCCGCCGACGGTGCACCAACGGTGCGAGGAGGCCGACAAACGCGGATCGGAGAAATATGCGGACCTTTGTGCGAACAGCTGAACCGGAAGTCGAGCGGACAGCGCGCCTCTTCTAATCGTCCGTCACCGCCGATATAGGCTCAGTCGGCTCTCAAACGGCCGACTGAGAAGGCGACGGCGTGTCTCTCGTCTTACGATTACGTCTAGGTTGACCGAATCGAAAGGTTGCCGGAATCGGAGAAATTCTGAATTTGCCTAATAAATCCCATATGTTGTAAGATTCTTTATTTTTGTCCATCTTCGGAATGTGTTAGGAAGAAAACATACACCCGGTGTATACGAAATAAAAACATCTGCCGATTTGAATATAATATATCAACGCCCGATTTTCACTTTTACAGCGCGATTTAATTTGAATAAATATTCCATATAAATTTTTCATATAAATATGAAATTTTCCAACAACTGTTTATTGCAACATGAGAAACTCGCAATTATTATCGTGTTCTTAATTAAACGCGCCTATATTAAATCACTGCGCGCGCGCGTGTCTCTACTATTTGTGTTCTTTTAATATATATTCGGATATTAAATTGTCTAAATTAAAATCAGTAATTTATCTTTACCGAAGGCTGAACATCTGCTACATTTGTATTGAGAGAAAGAAAGAGATATCGTTTCTTGTGATACATATATTGGCACGTATTTCGATATTAATAGCATCGTACCTCCATTCCACGCGGAACACGTGCAGCGCGTGTGTCTTCTATGTAATGACGCGTACATATACACGAGCCTGTCGGGTCGGTGCAATGCTCTTCGATTAAACAACGCGTGTCGCGGTTATTTCGCCGTAAAACGAAACCGACGACGATAGCGCGACGTGATTCAAAATACTCGGGGTGAGATTGCGTAATCGAGGTGTACTAATCTAGGAAACCGAAACCCTTCGTAATTATTTGGCGTCCGCGTGTGGTCAGCATCTAAATTTACCATTTCCGATTTACAAACTTATTCGGATGAAAATAAACATGATATAATAGGATAAACAACGATGAGATATATCGCCAACATACGGGCATGATGGATTATAGGAATGAGATGCAAATGAGACAAATACGCGTGAATATGCATTACTTGTATAATTAATCTAAATTGAATAAATCTTGCGAAAAAAAAAACGATAAATAAATATAAAATTTTATAAGAGAGAGCAAATGTGCTTAAAAAAATATTTTATAAAACAAGAGCGAAAAAAAGTTCACAAAAAGATTCCTTCGCTTTTCGAATCGGTCACGTCGAATCGTTTCTCGCGCTCGATCGCACCTCAGTAAAGTTATCCGCGCTTTATCGCGCGCGCATGCGCCTCGCGAGGCGCGAAGTTGCGTGCGTTCTCCTCGCGTTCCAGAGAGCCGCGCGCGTTCGTTGCCGATTCTGCGAGTGCGTTAATTCGACACATTTTCCACAAAATCCCATCCTTTTCACAGAGATCGCAGCGGAAGCGGCGACGCGAAGAACAGACGGAGAAGGAAGAGAAAGAAGAGACGTGAGTTTGGGCGATTCTTCTCCGGGCGGTGTCTACGCGCGTGTGTGGTGCCGCGTGACGGTGCACGTGCACGCGTGACAGTGCGCGGGTGCGACAGGCAAGGTAAAGGGAAAGAAGAGAAGGGGAGGAGGGGGCGAAGAAAAGAAGAAGACGACGAAGGGTGAAGTAAATACACGCAAGTGCGAGACGGAGACGCGCAGGAGGAAGAGAAAGAAAGCGGGCCAAGGGGACGACGAGTGTCCTCCGCGCGCGCGCGCGCGCACGAGACGCGAATTATGCTGCGGTGTGACGTGGTGCGAGTCGTCTTACGGATCGACCGGTCGATTGAATTCTCTAAATAGGATACGCGCCACCGCCGGCGTTCCCGCGTGTGCGTACATATGTGTCAGGGCGCGCGCGTGTGCGTCGTGACTGCCGCACGAAGGAATCGTCGTCGACGTCGTTCACGCCCGGCCAGGCCGGGCCGGTGAATCGCCGCGTCCGCGCCGGCGGATCGACCTGCCGCGGGAAACTTTGGATCCGGTTCGCTTTCCACGGCTGACGTCATTACCGGTGAGTCGTTTTCTTTTCCTTATTCTCTTAATTTATTTTTCCTCTCGCCGGCGACCAGCGTGACCGAACGCGGGATTGCTTGTACTTTGCGTTTGCTCGGAAACAGGGTGTCTACTCTTTGGAAAAACATGGAAAATCTGAAATTCTCATGCATAGAATTTTATTGAGAATTAAATTTTTTTTTTTTTTTTTTTTAATAATTTTGTTCTTATATTGTAAGTATCGGCCATCTCTCCATTGATAAACCAAAGTTGTAAATTAAATATTTAAAATATATTATAAATAAACATCTCGTTTTATATCGTCGCGAATAAAATTATAAGTATCACCTGTGCATTCTCGCCTACTTTTGGTATCCAAATATAAATTTAATTATTTCATCGGTATATTTGCACTAAAATACCACAATTAAGCGCATGTATTACATCTGTAATCTGTCAGAGTTTGGTTAAACTTTGAAATTTTGGAGTAATCTAGAAGTTTGAGTCGAATCTAGAATCTTAAGTATGGGTTGTGAAAAGTAATGTTACGGGTTTGGGACGCGTCGTAGATAATAAAAGTTGCTTGCAAAAATATATTGCCGTATAAAAAAAATTATTTTTATTTTTTGACATTGGGGATTTATTTATGTCGGTTTCTGGCGTAAACGCACTTTTCAATTGAGGTTTAATAAAAGAATGAGATATATATATAATGATAGCAATTTTTCGCGTGTTTTTCCACAAATCTCGATAAACACGGCAGAGGGAATTTGGCAATGAATTAATTAATTGATCGTTATACATTGCGATGAATATAATTCGTTTCTTGACGACTTGCTCGCCTAGCATGGTATTACATATAATATATAATATAATAAATATATCTATATCTCTATATATGCAGTATATATTATTTATTGTAATTTTGTGTGATGAAAAATGATAAAGAAATGAAAATGTCACGCAAAATATTTATCTTACAATTTTTCGCGTCTTTTTCCACAAATCTCGATAAACACGGCAGAGGGAATTTGGCAATAAATTAATTAATTGATCGTTATACATTGCGATGAATATAATTCGTTTCTTGACGACTTGCTCGCCTAGCATGGTATTAATGACTGCAACGCCGTCGGGGGCGTAGCGTGCGTGCGAAATACACGCGTGACGTGTACACGCGTCGGCGAGAAAGTCCGTAATTACAGTAATTTAGTTGCAGCTCGATCAGTTTAACATATGAAAATGTTGAAAAATAAATACGTCTACAGCCCTCGGCGACATCAGTAGCTGTCATTAGTAATACCATTTAGGGTTCTACCATTGAAAAAAACTGGAATATTCACATATTTCTTTCGTGATTTTGGAAAAATCAGGGATTTCTCATGGAATTTTTTTTATTGGGATTCGGGAAATATTAAAAAAATTCTTTTTTTTTTCAATATATTTTCAGATTTAGCATTTTAAACAAATGGCGCTTTATTTTTCTTTTGTATGGTGGAAAGCATTAGATAGTACACACAATAAAGAAATTTATTTTAGAAAGTTGCATCCAAAAAATCTTTAACAAAATTTTTGTTACCTGGAATTTTGTACAAAAGTATCTAAAGAAATTTTCGGGGAATTATTTTACACGATTTAAGTAGACATCTTGTAATTTATTCTACAGTTATTTTATACCGTACTTTAACGATATTTATCACAATGTGTGTGCGTGTAGAAGATTAAGAAATATGACCTAGAATAGGAGCACCGTTGTTTTCAATTATCTACAATTATCGCGAGCGATACATGTTTCTCGCCGATTTGGGACACTAATGAACGTCGGTTCTCTAAAAAAGATTAAAATATCACTTGATAATGGTATTAACGAAGTAACGTTAAATTATTCGCAAAGAGTTTCTTTCCAAAATTGAAGAAAGAAACAGTGGTAAAATTGAGGAGAAATTTATTTATTTATTTATTTTTTTTCTACGAGCAATATATCCCGCTAACTTTAAACTTTTGGCCGCGCGCGCGAAACCGGACGTGTGTCTGATCCTTTTCAGGTAACGACCTGTCGGTTGGCCTGTGTTGCGTTCTTGGAATATGTGTGCTTAAATTCTCCGCACTGTGTTAGCTACTTCGTCAGGCGAGTCCGTCCTTCTTCTTTTCCGAGCGTGAGGAAAGATGGCCGCCTGTGTGTACAAACCGCATAGTTTGCTCGTCTCTCTCTCTCTTTCTCTCTTTCTCTCTTTTCATCTCTTTCTTCGTGCAGTTAGACGAGACGCAGACGCTGACTGGCAGGCCGACCGACAGGACGGTTTTAGAGAAAGTCGAAGCGAGAAGTTAGAATGCACCAGGGGATATAACGAAGGACATATGCCTATTGCCGGGCAGTAATTTTTAGAATATGTAAGATGAAAATATCGTTGACGATTTTTAGAATTTTGAGTTAGCTTTCAGTCATTGAAAGCCTATATTGGAACGACGATTATAAATTTTGTAAAATTAGAGATTAAGAAGTTTGAGTCATAATGCGGCATCCACGTATTACATTTCATATTTCAAATTTATATTTAATTAATGCGAAGAATTAACGTGTTAATTGGAATAATTAAATTAAATTTAAACTTTAGAATTTTAGAAATGATATGATTTTATAAAATCGATTAAAGACAGCATATTATTAAAATGACTACATTACACTAAATTTTAATTTTAGATCTGATCTTTGTGCTTTATGATCTTTTTATTTGATAGAATAAATTTTACCTCGATGCTTAGATACAGTTGCGAAGTTCGATCGTTTTCTCGCAGCGACAGTTTTGCTGAGGCAAGAGCAGAGCTCTTTTTTTCTTCACCTTGTACTCGAATGAAGTTTCGCAGTCGTGCGTCACATTCACGGCTTTCTCTTCGCTGCGTTGGATATAATTTTGCATCCGGTGTCGATAAGTGCGATGTCGCGCCCTTAATTAATTTATTTTCCCTCGTTTCCGCGCGAGTCTGTCGTGGCTGCGCGGATATCCTCGAAATTGCATGTCTTCCTCACCTTCGTCAATCCGGATCAAATTTGAATATATGACATAATCAAATTAACGCTAATTAATGTTAGTTAATTTTTTGCTTTTACTAATTAGCAAAAAATTGATAAAGATAAGGGTGCTGACTTAATCACTCCATTTTTGAAAAGCATTTATAGCGAAAAAAACAGATGTATCAGAATTAATTCTTAATTACTCGCTTTAAGATATTATAAATAGATTTCAAAAAGATTTATTTTTTGTGTCCCGACACGGAATCTTATATAACGATATAAAAACTGAATAGTTTGCAATATCAACTTGATACTAAATTATTATTTCCCGAAATGATTACTGAAATATCCTAGCTTCTAATTTATTAATAATATACCGCTCGCAAAATTTGAGATCAAAGCAAAATAAATTTGCACTTAATTATGCCGTACCTCCGAATTTGATTTCTCTTGATGGAAGTGTCAGGTTAACGGAAATTTCAAAGTGTGCGATCTCTAATATTATCGTATGTGTGAGTCACAGACAAGCGACCGTCTAATGTAGTCTATAATGGTTGGCCAATTCTAAACTCTAATGTCTCAAAATGATATGTAAAGTGATTACAGTGCTTTCCGTGAAGCTAAGTGAGCAATTAAGTTTACGGATAATACATTAAGAAAATTATATACATATATTGCTCACCAATCATCAGCCGATGTCTCTCCCGGATCTTCTTTTTCTTGCTCCTTCACTCACACGAGACTCACTTGCGAAAACACGTTTAATTACTATCACGCATTGATCACGATAATACGATGATCGTACGGCACTTTCCACAACATTACCAACGTTATTCACACACAATTTTATTTTATATCGCGACGGGAGAAGGCGAAAATTTCGGTTACACGCAAACGAATAGTATATACACATGTACTTTATATATATGATAATTTTTTATTGTTTCTTATTATAATTAGTTGTAATAATCCATCTTTTTTTAAAAAATATGAAAAATATATACACGACATATATTCGGCGCTTACTTTCCCGCTCGAGTCTCGTCGCAAGAATAACAACAAGGCGAGCGAGTATAAACGACAGTGCCGAAATTTTGCAGCATATAGAGCACGATTGTTTATACGCGGTCGCTTTGTTGACATTCTCGCGAGGCTCAAACGAAAGGAGTAACAAGTTGTTACTCCTTTAACAACGCGAACAGAGAGCTCCCGTGAATCGTATTATCCATCAAAATACGATCGTAATCATTTCTTACGATCGTTACAATTACAATTAATTGTAAATAAGCAATACAATTTTCATATATATATATATATATAATTTGCGTGTATATATAATTGTTGTTAACGAGATAGCATTTTGTAAATTCGATCGTGCGATTTGTCGAGCAGATCATAGCTTTGTACAATGGTAATTTTCATTTTGCAATGTAAAATAAAATGCGCTAAAATGCAATCGTATTTTGATGATTAATGTGCGGGTGTAATTAACCATGTTTTTGCGGGTAAGTGTCGCATGTGAGTACCATAGAAGAGCAGCAAATAGAGATAAAAAAAAAATTGTTTTTCTATTTTCATAAAAGACGGTTTTTTGCGAAAAAACAAACCTCGTTTTTTTTTAAATATTTTTATTTTATAATATTTTATATGGTCTTTTAATATCTCTACTATCATATTAAAAAGAAGTCTCTTATAATCTGCTTCCTCTCTCTCTCTATACCTCTATCCATTCACAATTCACAAATGTAAACATTCTATAAACTAAAAACTAATCCTTTTATTTTTTATTTTATCCTTTTGAAAACAATTTCAACGGTTTAATGAGATTTTTGTGGTTAAAATGATACCAAACACAACATAATTTGGATAATTTTTAATTAGATGCATAATAAATATTTTTGTTATGCATCTAATTTATAATTTTATTAATTTACATTACTTGGTATTTGTATATATTAAACTTGGTTATTTATATTTGCACGGTAATATAAACTTGCGTAATATAACTCGGCAATTTAATCCGCTTTGCATTATTTTGAGACATAAGAGTTTAGAGCCGGCCAATGATAAACTATCTTTAGACGATCTGTCTATAACTAGCATGTATGTTTAGTGTTAGATCACGTACTACAAGTTCTTTAATCTGGTACCTCCAGAGAAATTAGATTCAGATGTATGGCGTAAGTGTTAATTTATTGTTCTAATCTAAAATTTCGCAAACAATAAATCACAATTCCGAAATAAATTTTATAAAATAATCGTAAATGTTTCAACTTAATGCAATTAATTGTTTTTCTTTGAGTTTAAAATATTTGCGAGTTATTTGCTCGAGATATGTTAAAATGATTGCTCATTGTTTGACTTAAAAAAAAAAAAAATAAACAATCGAAAAATATGGTGATATTCTAGTTTGCCGTACAATATTTTTGAAATCTATTTGCAGTATCTTGGAGCAATTAATTAGTAATTAATTTTGGTATATTATTCATAATTTTGGTTTATTATTCATAATTTGTTTTTCGATAATGCTAGCGTAATGTAAGTCAGTTTCATCTTTAATATCAATTTTCTGTTAATTGGTGGGAGCAATAAATTCAAGATTACACTGGCAGATTAACACGATATAAAAATTATCATTCATAATTACGTTCGAATTTGATTTTTTTTTTTTTTTTTTTTTGGTAAGGGTGTCAGGTTAACGGAGATGTCTCTCTTATTTTTCGCGCACATATCTATCCCATTTTTTAGATGCGTATTATATATGACTCCGATATCGATCCCGCATATTCCAATATAAAAAGCGTCGCGACAACCGGAGAGATCCGAGACAAGAAGAATGAGAAGCGACGAGTTAGAATGGAACGATACCGGCGGGGAAAGTGTGGAAACAAAATAGGGGAAACGGAGAGGGATGCGTGCGAGAGAAAAAGATGCGGAGAAAAAGAGAAAGCGAAATGGGAATATATGGAACGAAGACGGAAGAGATCTGTCGGTGACCCGTGGAAAGTCGCCGACGTGCACACATACATTTGTCATTTTACATTTTCACATTTGTCACGCTGAAATTTTTTTATTCTTTACGACACAAATCACATTGTCCGAATAACTGTAGGATCGAGGAGCGCGATAAACTTATGCAGATGTCGAAAATATCATAGCCGTACTATTGATTTTTCAAATGAACGTGGATTTATAGATGACATTTCGCAAATGAGCAATTACAATCTATCGACCGATAACACGTTGATTCAAAGATAAAGAGTCGCGTGACTGAAGAATCGCTCTGCTCGCGGCACCTCGAGCAGTTCAGCTTTAATAGCGGAATATTGTTCGGACATTATTTTTAATTTTGCACAGAAAGCAGATGCATAACATACCCAACACACACACACACACACACACACACACACACACATATATATATATATATATATATATACGCATACATATACGTCATTCGTAAGGTTCATCATGTGCGAGCGTTCTGATTGTACCGCGGTGGATGTGACGTAATAATGTTCTCCCGGAGAGAGATTACTTGTCATCCGCACACATCCGACTCGTTTACGCTTGCTGCGAATAAGATCTCGAATCTAGAGGATATATTCTCTGGAATTTTTATTACGCGCTCACTCTTCTCTCCTTCTTTTTCTTAATTATTATTATCGCAATATTTATTTTGCGCTTGCAATTAATATTTAAGAGTAATTGCTTTTGTATTGCTAGCCTGTTCCATTTTCAGAATTTCAGTATAATTGATAGAACTCCGACTTTCTCTTTTCTCCAAAGAATTCTAGAAGTTCTATGTTTAATTTCTTATATTTAAGAAAGAAATTCTGCCGCTTAAGCTTAGTGTTCATTTGAGAACGTCTCTCGACGTACTTTGCTTAAATAGATTCTCTCTCTCTCTCTCTCTCTCTCTCTCTTTACTATAGACGTAAAATTGATATAATCTTTTTCATTTTAAACAAGAATTTTATAAATTAAATCGTAATACTTTAAGAGAGAACTTTGAAGTACATTCTCCAGAATTCCCAAGAAAATTAAAAGAAATTCTCCGCGTTTTTTAAATGAATGACAAATATTACGAATAAAAAGTTCTCTCGCAGCGCAATACAAGTTGCGTACAAATACAAACGACATTACCCTAAATTTAGCTCGATGATAAAACGATTAAGTTTCCCCGACTGATCGAATGTATTTCTCATAATTTCACTCGTAATACAGCGAGGAAGGAGTCTAGCGTGTTTAAAACGTGTTGCTCGATTCGAACGTCTGCATTTACCTCGATTTCGCTTCCGTCCGTGCGAAACTTACGTCACCCGTGAATTTCATTTGCTCCCGATTCCTTCTCTCGCTTGCATTTCTCCCGCTCGCACATCGATTATTATTAGAGTGCCGTTATAACGCGACGTTTATTGCACATCGCGCGCGTCGCGGACTTTTCCTTTCTTTGCGGAATTGCGGCGGGTTCGCGTGACGATGATCTTGCTGTCGGCTATGAAACGAGCGCACTACGATCTATAAACTATCCTACTAAAGTCTACAACTTTATTTCTACAGGGGGTCTATATATTCCCTGGAAAAAAACATAGAAAACCTGAAATTCTCAGAGATTTCTTTAGTACCTGAAAAGATCAGGAAATTCTCCCTCGTGGAATTTTATTAGGACTCGAGGAATTTTTTTTAAATATAATATAAATATATATCTGTGTGTGCGTGCGTGTGTCGTTGTTTATATATTCAATACAAAAAATATAAACTCAATTGGCCCCGCAAATATTTCAAAGTGTTTTGAGTAGCGCGATTTTGTCATGTTTTGTAGAAGTATAAGAAACGAAAAACATTTGGGATATACGTATTAAGTGGATCGCGTCTGTGTTTATATATACATATATAAACACGGCAAATAAATACTGAGCCAGTGCTTTGCTCAATTATATTATATATTTATATTTATATTAAATATTCAGTTCGTTGCCGTCCACGGACGGGAACAGACGTATTTAGACACGTTATGCGTGTATCCTTTGGACTTTATTTTTGAATTTCTTCCTCTCCTATAGAGGAATTTTTTCTATTTGTTACTCTTAACCAGTCTTTGGCCGGAATATATCAATCTTATTAGATCGGATGTGGCCATAAAAGCAAAGGAAGAAGAATATTAAATATTCATAAGAATGTATTGGCGTATTATCAGGTACATAATTCTATTAGCAAAAAAATAAGGTTTAATTTGTTAAATATATTAAATATTCTAAATTTGCAAGCTTGCGCGCGCTCTCTCTCTCTCTCTCTCTCTCTCTCTTTCTCTCTCTCTCTTTCTCTCCACACACACACACACACACACACACACACACACACACACATTCAAATAATTGATAATAGAGAAAAGATTCTCTTGCGGGATTTGAAAAGCATTGTTCTGCGAATATTATATTACTCGATACATTTTGACGGAAACATGCGCATAAATTCATGCATCGCGTGGAAACTGCACACGTTTGTGTTGTATTACGCTTTATCTGTATGCAGCACTTATTCGTCCACCATATCTCCTGCCGTCCGACATGAATATATGTATTACCATGTACCCCTAAGTTTATTTATGCTAGCCGTGTAAGAATTTCTATAAATGTGCAACTCATGCCGGCGTTATACGAGGTGTCTCGCGATGTCTGTAACAACGATGTAAATCGATCTCTTCGGCAACTTAAAAGTCTTCACACGATGAAACTTGCACGCGTGTGTCGGGATAATTAAATTTTCACGAATTTTCGTCGTAACTTTTCAATTTCACAATTTACAACGATTATAAATCTTCGTGTCTCTCGTATTTCGCGATAAAGCTTGAAATATGTGGATGTATCCTATATTTCTTTATACTTAATTATTTTTCTAAAACTATCTTCAATTCTTCACCTTATAAAGCACACTTTGCCGTTACAAAGACACGAAGTGAATCGACAAGAAATTCGATCAACTTCCCGTTTCAGATGTAACTGTAATTGCACACTTACGCGCGATACGCGTACGTTTAATCTCCGTACCTGTACGATTGATACACCGTGCCATTGCGAAAGGAAAGGTACGGTAAACAGACCGCGTGCGTTTCCGCAGTGTCACGACTGGTCCCTCTATTGATGCATTCAATCTATTCACGCCGAGTGGATGTATGAAAAACTATGTCGGTGATAATTGAGCGATATTAGTGACGTGTGTGTATATATCGTCATAATTGATCCGCTATTGATGGTCATAGTGGTCATAATGGTCTACCGATTAATTCAAATCTTCCTGCGATTGTGATGTTAAAAGGCAACTCTCGATTGATTCAAGTATCGTATTTAAAATACGCAATATGTGAAGGAATTTTTTTACAAATGGCTTTTATTGCAAAATTCTCGATTTTCATTTGAATAGTAATTAAAGCTGTAAGTGTACACACAAGTGTACATATTATCGGAAAATAAGTTTTGCAAATGTGGATTCATAATTTCCATTAGTCTCTACAATTTTCATAATTTTCGTTTTATAAATTTTCTAACTTTTTTAACAACACAGAGAATCTTCTCTTAAAATTTATCCTAAAAATCATGGTAATCGTGGAACAATATAGTATTTTAAAATATTTCATATAAATTCTTGTATTTATTAAGATGTACTATAATAAAATATTAAACGCATTTGGTTAAATTTTATTAAAGTATCTTGTATATCTAAAATTTTAATAATTTATTGATAATTAATATTAATTTTAAAAAACATTAAAGAGAAAAAGTTTTATTTCTTTTTAATAAAGGACATGCAAGGTAGTAATAAAAATATAATATATACTGTATAGATTTTATAAAAACAATATTTTCAATTGTTCATTGATAATGTTAAAAAAGTACAGTCTATATTTATAAGGAAATGTATGAAAATTTTACCACATAGCTATCTATAATATTTACATAGACGCCAAGTTGCTCCCCAAGATGATTAAAAACGCAGGAAAACTAGTGAAATTTATGTTAAAATGCATGAAAAATTTTCTCCGTGAATTTTCATTTTATTAATTTTTCACCCAGTTCATCGTTCATATTCATTTTACAGGTTCGAGCATGATTTTCTGTAACTTTATTTTTTCGTACGTTTTTAATTTATCGTAATCGTAAAATGCCCGCCCTCCCTCCGATTGTCGAGTAATCTCGCGATTCAAAATGATAATATTTATATTCTACAGCTCCGATTTCTGTCTGTTTCAGTTCACAATGCGCTAGGGGTGATGGAGACAGTGGGCAAGCAAGTTCAGGTAGTGAGCGGACTGGGGGGTCCGGTGGGCCCTGTGGGCCCAGTTGGGGGAGATTTGCATCATCATCATCACCCTCACCCGCACGCCCATCCTCCGCACCCGCATCCCCACCCCCACGGTCATCCCCATGGATCCCACGGCCACTCGCTCGTCGGCGCGACGTCGAACCCCGGTAGGGGTCAAGCCCAACCACCCGTCTCGCATAATCAGCACTTACCTGCGAGGTCCACTCCTGTACAGCTGCATAGGTAAGTCTTTACTATTGTATCATATATTAATCATTAGAATCGCCGTTCTCGGCGTCTCTTAATCACGCGAGTATAAAATATTTCACGAACGCGAAAATAGAAATAGTTAAAGATTGCGCGATAACGTCTGAGAAATATTTTCCGGTTCATCGAAGAGGGCCACCGAGGTGAATCAAAACGTCTTACGCGCTCTTGCTCTTTTGATAAAAAACTACTTATAAACAATTATGCCTTTACAATTGTATTCTTTGATTTTTCTCTAATTATATTAATTATATTATTTATCTAATATTAATAATAATAATAAATAATAGATAAATAATAAATAATAATATTATTTTCTAATTAATATTTTCTTACGATTTTATATCAAGGAGCTGTTTTTACTTATCTTGCGTTCTTTTCTCTTTTCGTAAAGTTTGTTTTAACAAAAATTTTTTTAGAAATATATACACCCGTTAGAGAGTACATTCTCTTGATTCTATCGAAATTCTGAAAACGAGTCGCATTATATACGGTGAATAGAGAACTCGAATTGAAAGCCGATACGACCGACAGCGCGGCATATGTATGTTAAGAAGGAAAGTTCACGAGCGAGGTCTGACATCGGGGATGGTTAGAACGAGAAAAATGGGGAAGGGACGCGTGCAGGAACGTTTACCGTGCAGGTGCCAGGCAGATATCCATGCGAGATGGCATGTCTTCGAGAACGGGACTGAAAAATATTCCCTTTTTTTCAAACGTTCGTTCTGACGAAGATCTGGATCTGGTGCGAATATCTCTTGGTGAAGATAGTAATTCCCCGATCAGATCACACGATCATATGGGGATATTATACGTATCCGGGCTCTGTCGAGACGAGGCGTTTATTCGTAAATTTATTGCTGCTCATGCAGGATGCACACATACACAAATACACACATCTGCGTTTTCTTCATTTCAAAGTCGCAATACAAGAATAAAGACGCGTTTCGCGAGCTTCCGATTACAGAAGTCTGTTACAGCGTACAAGAAGCAAGACATCATAGGCTTTATATAGCCATTGCTTATTGCGCCGCTAGTTATCTCGAAATGCACATCGTCGCGGTTTTAATTGCATCTCTTTTAGTCGGGAGTTATCTACTACGTTGAAAAATCGACAATTATTCAGACTCTTAAAGTCTGGGCGCCAAACTATGCGAATGACGATTCGCAGAAATTCGTCATTTAGCGTGAATTTTTCACACTGCGCGATTCGTTTTAATGCTTCGGCGATTATTTGCGTGATTATCTTCTTCTGAAGCTTCTGAATATTCAAATTAATTCAGTGTGGGTCAAAATCTGGACGTAATAATATACACGAATCGACGCGAATGAATTGATTTGTGGGAATTCGCGTTCTTTAATTTGGTTAAAAAACCGCTACGGTGACGAAAATTCGAATATCATAAATTTTGTACAAATCGCGAATACGCGTATAATCTGGCATCAGCTTTAAATGCGGCGAAAAATATCAATAGATTTATTCGTGAAATATTTTGTATTATTGCAATCTCAAAAATATTGCGAAAACAGAAGAATCCGTTTTACGTTTTTTAATCGCAATTAAAGAAAGAACAGGCTTTTTAAAATAATAAGTTCTCTCTTAATTACAAGTAATCGAGCGTAATATGATTCGTAATGTTTTTTTTTATTTTACACTTTAAAAAATTAAATAGTAAAGTCACATAATACAATGATAGAAACGTTTCTTGAACGGTGTAAATACGTTTTGTTATGACGGTGGTATAAATCGATCGTTCCTCTGCGTTAACTTATTTCGAAATGCGTCTTTCTCGATTGCGTGTCCCTCGTAGTCATGATTCCGTTAAGATTTCCGTAAAAAATTTTATACGCGAGTTTACGAAGCCATCTTACACGAAATTATGTCATACAGTTGTGTGCATTGATTCGATTTGCAGAATTGCTATATTTTCTACACGAAGAGGTTTCACAGTTGATGCATATTTTTTCCGGCAATAACGATAAAAACGATTCAAATACATAATTCGAATTTTACTTGAAAATTTGGCATATCCAAATTCCCGGAGTTCCATTCGTTTGATAAAAGTATCGAAATACTATTCTATGATCAAAGAATATTACAAATATATATATAAGCTTTTTATACTTATATAAGTTTCAGTTTGAAATAAAGCTTCTTATTATATAACCGTACGGCTTAATAGGAGCTTTTACTTCGATGATCGTTTTATCAATTTACTATCGACGAGTCTTGCAATTGAAGTTAAAAAGCGCGATCAGAAATCGACGTGAGATATAATTTTCGTATCTTTTACTCGTTCGAAATATTAGATCTTTTCACAAATTTTGTTTTACAAAACGGAGGAATAATTTTCTTCGATAATTTCATATACCATATATCAGAAATTTGCGTTACTTTTGTCTTATGCTCGTTACGCTCGCGAGTGCTCGAATGTTTATATGAATAAAGATATGGGATCATTACGACCTTTCTACACGGTATCTTGCATCGTACAAAGACGTGCAAACGGCGAACGGATGCTTTGAGAACAAGAGAGAACGTGACTGCCACATTTTTTTCCTCCAGATATAAAATGTCTCTACGTAAATGTGTCGCTATGTATTATTGGCATTTGTAGTTGACGCGTCGTGCTAGATCATATCTCCGAGAAAAAAAAAACGTTAATTAGAAACAGGACATTCGCACATCAACTATTCGATGATAAATGACGCTTTTTTTTAAATCTTTATGGCAGTTTGCGTGGATGTATTTTTTTATGGGATAATCAATACTTAAAATTTATTTAGAGTGTGGGTCATTATTTATATTCATAAAAATAAATATCACATTTCTACATGTATTATCATCAATACTGTTATATTTGAAACGCGCGTTAGAAATCGTGACGTTTATTTTTAATCGAGATAGAATTGGCTGAATTTCATTAGCACGGATTTTTTTGTATTTGCATTTGTCGATATATTTATCGAGGTAAAATATCGAGATATATTTTATCGTGTATGACGGTTGTAGATAGACCAGCGGGAAAGATGCGAGATATTTTTGCCTGAGACAACGCAATCTGCGCGAAGTTCTAGCTTCGTGAGGGTTATATAAGATGACGCGGCTTAGAATACACTTTATGTATACGAACCGCGAGCCTCTTGGCTCCATTTGCATTGTATTTTAAGCCTATTATATAGCGAAGAATGCAGCAACGCCGGAAAATTCGTAACTGTACAATACAGAATTACAAAAAGGACAAAGTAGAAAATTACACACACACACACACACACATTCTCCCTCTTTGTCTTTTGCTTTTATTGTAACGTGTGCGCAATGCTATTATTAATTTTGATAAGATTATACAGGTCTATTTCCTGAAAAAACATGGAAAAACTAGAATTATCACGGATTTTTTTGTACTTAAAAAAATTAGGGAATTCTCGTGGAAATTAAAAAAAAAAAATTCTCTTTAATAATTTTACTGTCATATTGTAAACAGTCGGCAAGCCAAGTGAATTACATGTTTAAAGTGTATTATATATATTTATCTTTGTTTATATATTACATGTCTCAACAAAATGTGGAATATGTAGTACATATTCTTTATTGTAATTTTTAGTGATAAAAAAATGAAAATTTTATGCAAGTGAAAAATGTTTATCTTAAGAAAGCTATTCAATTTTTTTTTTTCACTACATATGCAAATATTGCACTTGAAACTTGAGAGACTGTGTTTTTCTTTGGTATGAGTGAGAAATATTAGAAAACGCATGCAATAAAAAAATTTATTTTATAAAGGCACTAAAAAATTTTTGAAATATTCTTTTTATCTGGAATTTTGAACAAAATTACTTGGAAGATCAGACAATTTTCAGGGAATTTTTTTTAACATGATTTTAGTAGATACCCTGTTATACATATAATACTTAAACAGAGTTTGCATCAGTCAGAAATCAAAGAACTGATATAACTTGTTTGCCTTTATTAATTAGAAACATTTCTCGGAAGAAAAAAAATAATTGCGCGCGCTTAGAGATATTTATTACATAAACAGAAATGCGTTACAAAATTATTTTTTTTAGAATTGAATATATTTTATTTTTTCCTTGTTTTTGCAGTATTCTGAATTTTTTTAAATAACACGCATATAAATGCGCTGTATTGATTTTATACGAACTCTGTTTTTTAAAAACTAGATCTCCCCGTATATCGCACTTTATAAAACTAAAAAGAATCAATTTATCGATAATCCTCTTAACTGAATGATTCATATGCATTCTTATGTACGTATCAATTAGATATAATGATCAGAAAAAATGCTGAGGAATATTTCTTAAAAAATTATTCGCGTTATATAAAGAAGCGATATTACCATATGTATGACACATGTTTCTTGGTATGCAGAATGTTCGATCAGTACCGTATTGATTATTCATTACATACTTTTTGATCAATTTGAATTCACTTTTCCTCAAACAATGGCGATATATTTTTAATGAAATATTATTTACCTAGAATGCAAAACTACCGCGCAAAGATCGACATTTTAAAACAATTGTACCTTTTAATTGTCATTTTCTTTGTTAATTTAAAAAAGAAATATTATATCGATATGTTATATACATGAACAAGAAAATTTAACATATTTGTACGTGGATTAGTTTTAAGATATATATATATATGTCTCAAGCGTATCAAAGAGATAAAAATTTTTAATATCTTTGCGAGCTAAATTTATCCATCTATGTCCTCGAGGCTACTTTGAAAACTCGACAGGTGCCTCAAAAGTACAAAGTCTTTAAAACTACGCTACCTCTATTCCAAACTATTAAAGCCGTCGCATAAATACAGACGCCCCTAGTCCACGTTTACCTACCTTCTTCCACGATCTATCTTTTAAAATCTACGACGTGTGTAGAAAAAGAGGAAAATTTCAAAGTGAATGCACGTCTTGCACAGAAAATATTTTCAAGAACATATGAAAATTCGA